ATTCTCAAAAGTTGAACAATTTCTGAGGAACATATGGAGAAATAGCATTTTCTAAATCAGCTCCTCAAGAAGTCGAAGTGACTAGAGAAAAGACAAACACCATGACACATAATATTATAAAAAAAAAAAGTTGTTTACTGAGAAGTGAGAAGATGATTATTAAGTGGAAAATTAATAGGAGAGAAATTATACAAAACATGTATCAGCATAAACCTGATTCTGGTTAGTATAGAAAGAATGGGCAGAAATTAAAAAAAAAAAAACTTTTTACTTGATATAAAAGTAAAATTCAGAGTGAAGTTTTTCTACTGGTCTAGATATTCCTCCTAGTTTTCATCTTTCCAACCCATCATAAATCAGGGAGACTTTCAGAGAGTGACAGCTTCTTTCTTGGATTATCACATTATTATTTTGCTTCAGTCAAATAGCAGCAGAATTTCTGAACTGGAATTCTGTGAAGGAATTAAACTAATTAACTAAGGTGGAAGTCAACAAAATTTTTCTATAAAGGACCAGGTAGTAAAATATTTTTGGCCTTGAGGATCGTGTGGTTTCTGGTATAACTATTCAATTCTACTATGGTAGCCCAAAAGCAGCCATGGACAATACATAAATGAATATGATTGTGTTACAATAAAGCTTTATTAACAAAAACAAGTTGGGTGACTGGATTTTCCCTGTGTGGGAGTAGTGTGTCAACACCTTCCCAGGAATCCCATTTCCCTGAAACTCTCCAATGCAATCTCCCAACCATTGGGAAAATTGAGAAAATAGTCACTGAAATCATTTTCTTTATTGTTAATTCTCTTGCAAATAACAGATAAGAAAGACAATGGGATCTAGAGAAACACCTTGTATATTAACTGAAGTCAGCTAATCCCAGTGAAACCTAAAACCTGTGTTTCTGTCAATGGTGGGCAGTGGTCTTTTTCATCCCTTTTTAGTGTCTTTAGTCAATAGCTCCTTTAATTCCTCCTTGCCCAGAGTTGAAGTGTGGTTCAAAATGCGTGCTGCTGCATCCCATGTTCCCTAATTCCCTAGTGCACCATGGCTTGATGTTCTCATAACTTAATTGATGCCAACAGTATTTTAAAATAAACCTCCTATGGTTTATAGGGGCTATTTATGCTTGCTCCTCTAGTAGTTTTTGTTAGTTTTGTGCACAGTGGTTGGAAAATTGATGGATAGAGCATTGGAGATATTTCTCACGCTAGGAGACAGAGGGCAGCATGTGATTTCTGAGAGAAAAAATCAGTGGCCAGAAGACTAATGACCCAAGCACAGTAGCATGAATGTGGGGTCCAGATGGGTATGAGGGCTGGGTGAAAAGTTTCCTCTGAATTATACAAGGCAGTCTGAGACTGGGAAAAACACAGCTCACTTGTCTTTTCACCTCTTCATTTCCATTTTTATTTTGTGCAAGCCTTCAGCCTTTTCTTTGTACTTCTATATCTTTTCCAGAAGGACCTAGGATTGAAAGAGGTAAAAGTTAAAACAAGCTGGTTGGTCTAGTTTGTGATTACTCTTCAAATAATAGATTAAGTTTGAGAAAAACTCAAAACCATTGGGTAAAGTTGGCTTTTGTATTATCTGTAAACTTTAGTAATCCTTTATTTACAGGTAGCACAAATAATGCATTGTTGGTTTTACTCTTAGAAACATTTACTTCAGTTTTCAAGTCAGTAGATAATGATTATTTTATTTGGGTGGATAAATGCAGAGGTAGCATTTAGAACCCATCTGTGTATTTTATCACTATCATGAGTGTCTGAAATTCAAAGACTTTCTTAAGAATAGAGTGACCCAGATTTCCTGCCCTTGGCCTCTCTTCCCAAATTCAGCTAAAGAGAAATAAAATACTCTATAGTCTTTGATCAGTCAAAATACTGATAGTTGGGAAAACAACAAACAGTAGATTGATGTCCTACCCATCATGAAACAAAACAAAATGTTTACCTATACAGGTCACTATATTGTCTTGAAGTCTCACTATCTACTATCTTTCCTTCTTATTTTCTTGATGGACTCAGTCTCTTGCTTGAGCAAACATCTTTCTCTGTTTGGCTTCTATTCTCTGAATGGACAGAACAGTGACCCATTAACTGCAGTGTGGGCTCTGACTTCTTCAGGAGACAGAGTTTGAAATACAACTCTTATCAATTCTTTCATCAAAAATCAAGCATGAGAAGCTAGAAGAACAGGATTTCTTGAGAAGATACCAACACCTTTCAGTTTCTGGGAGACTCAGAAGAATGAATAGCTCAATTTATTATTTCTCTGACTGTAAAACAGAAAAAAACAATAGAACCCTAAAAAAACAAAAGACTACAATTGAAACAAATTAAACAAATTTAACAAATGAAAAATTTGTTAAAACACTGAAAAAAATTGTGCTTGATGAGGATAAAGCTTACAAAAATGCTATTTATCTGAGACAGTTTCTTTATCACTTTATGCAGACATGAAGTGGCATAGTTTCTATTTTTAGTGTAATGTCTCTGTTCTACCATAAAGGCAATGAGAGATAAGGCTGTTTCTGAAATACTTTGCATTGATTTGGTGGATTGATTATGCTCTAGATAACAAAATTGTAGCCTGGGGGGTTGGCAGTTACTGTTGTGTGTTTTTATTTCCTGTCTCTGCTTTGCCATCTGGCCTGAAATATTACTGATTGATTGCTAAGCACTTCCCATTTCCAGTCAATGCAATTAAGAAAACAAGTGCTGAGCTGGTGACTCATACGATAAAGAATCTGCCTGCATTGCAGGAGACCTGGGTTTGATCCCTGGGTTGGGAAGATCCCCTGCAAGAGGGCATGGCAACCCACTCCAGTATTCTTGCCTGGAGAATCCCCATGGACAGAGGAACCTGGTGGGTTACAGCCCATGGGATCACAGAATCAGACATGACTAAGCACCCACACAAAGGTTTGAGGGAATACCATTACTTTCTAATAATAGCAGATCAATTCATTGAGCAACTATCCAGGCACTGAATTAATTGTCTTTTATCCATTCACCAAAGAGACAACTAGTAAGGACCTACTGTATGGCACAGAGAACTCTACTCAGTACTCTGTAAAGGCCTACAAGGGAAAATAATCTAAAAAAGAGTGGATATATATATATATATATATATACAACTGATCCACTTTGCTGTATAGCAGAAACTAACACAATATTGTAAATCAACTATACTCCAATAAAGTGGTTTTTTAAATCCAGCAAAGGAGATCTTTATTTTAATCTTCATTTTCCAGAGAGAATACCAAGGCTCAAAGAAATTAATTTCCTGAAAGATATGTAATAAGCAAAAGCTAGAACAGTTTCAAATCTGGCTTTGTTTGTCTTTAAAGCACTTATTCTATCCCTCTGTATCGTTATGTGCCCCTTAATATTTTTAGTATTCTGACCTATGCCCTGGGTGACTGCTTGGGTAACTTTGCTAAGCAGTTGTGCTAAGTTGCTTCAGTTGTGTCTGACTCTTTGAGACTTTATGAACTGCAGCCTGCCAGGCTCCTTTGTCCATGAAATTCTCCAGGCAAGAATACTGGAGTGGATTGCCATGCCCTCCTGCAGGGGATCTTCTCAACCCAGGGATTGAACTTGTATCTCTTATGTCTTTTGCATTGGCAGGTGGATTCTTTAGTGCTGAAACACAGGGAAAACCCACTAAACAGTATATTGATAGTGATATGCATAGATATCTATGACATTTGCTTGAGAGTGAAGTATACAGGACAGAGACAAGTATGGATGAATTGGGTTTTTTACGAGACTAGAACTTACTAGCAAGAAGCAATATAGACCTAAGCCATGATCCTTACCAGATGCAGGTTAGGTATCTATGGTGGGCTTCCCTGGTGGCTCAGATGGTAAAGAATCTCCCTGCAATGCAGGAGACCCAGGTTTAGTCCCTGGGTTGGAAAGATCCCCTGGAGAAGGGAATGGCTACCCAGTCTAGTATTCTTGCCTGGAGAATTCCATGGACAGCGGAGCCTGGGGAGCTATAGCCCACGAAGTTGCAAAGAGTCAGACACCACTGAAGCAACTTAGCACACAAGCATGATAATTATGGAAATTTTAACTCTAGGGGAAAAAAAATTAGACATAGAATGATACTTTTTCCTGGGCATTTACACATTATAAATTTTCATTTAAATCATATTCTTTTGAAGAACTTAGACATTGGTGGTTTGAAACCCACTTAAGCAATGATAAGAGCTTCCTCAGGTGGTTCAAAGGTAAAGAATCCAGCTGTCAATGCAAGAGATGTGGGTTTGATCCTTGGGTTAGGAAGATCCCTTGGAGAAGTAAATGACAACCCACTCCAGTATTCTTGCCTGGGGAATCCCATGGACAAAGGAGCCTGGGGAGCTACAGTCCATGGGATTGCAAAAGAGTCGTACATGACTTAGTGACTGAACTACAACAAAAGCAATGACAATATTTCCATTTTATGTAAACGCTTCAAATGTTCTGCCTTAAGGCTGCAAAAATGCATAGTGTTCCTTATCTTTCATGTTTATTTCAGATATAGAAGCAGTATTTCTGTCAATTATAGTTTTTCACCATCATGTATTAGAAGAATTAAGGCATATTGATTACTGTATGAGTCTTAAGTTTTTTCTTTTCTTTTTTTTTTTTTTTTTTAAGTGAGTAAATATATTCATTTATATTTTTTCCTTTTCTTAGCAGATTTTAAATGCTTGGGCTCTTCTGGCCCTTTGTACTATGATATTACTGTTTCCACTTTGGACATATGTATTTGTAAAATTTGCTGCCCCTAGCATGATGTATTGCTCTTAATAAGTATAACAAATATTTTTTAATGAAGCTGAGTCACAAAAATGTTACAGAATTCTTCCCCCAGTATTCAGTTCATTAAAGGTTATGAGACCATCATGTCTAACAGTAAGTGCATCTTTTAATTTCCTTGATTTCCCCTTCATCTTCTTTACTATGGATAAGTGGCTCCCATGAGTCATTTCCTCCACATCCTCAGTGGGAAATATCTGTGGTTGTAGGATCAGGGGTGGCATCTCTTTTCTTCTTTCCAGACTTTTTTCTTTTCTTTTCCTTTATTTGGTGTTCTTCCTCTATAGTTTAAGGAAAGAAAAAAAGAATTTAGGAAAAAGAATTGAAAATTAACAATTTGGAAGAGCAGAAATTAATTTTGGTTATGAAAGGACTTGGGTACTCACTATCACAGCTTTTCCTGCTGAGGAAAAGAATGACAACTAGGGAAAGAGGACAAGGCAAAGAGACAGCAGAAATCTGCCTACTGAGAAGAGCTTACTGAACCTTCATTTCTTCCCAGGCGATGTTCCTGTTCAATACCACAAAGGCTAATAATATCTTTTGTAAGATGTGAATTGTCTCTCAGATATATAAGCATTTAGATTGATTTTAAAATTAACTGCATGTGAGAAACAGTCATCTATGAAAACAGAGGAGGCTATAGAAGGCTAGGTGCTTAAGTCAATTGGTGATGGATTCTGGGATCCCACTGTGCTCTGATCCTGAGTCTGGGGTTCATTTGCATTTGTTCTGGTGGCTGGTCTCAGACTGTTTGGTGGGGAATCCTTGGAGCTGGTATATGAGCTATCAAGATACCATTTCTTTAGGCATTAGTCAACATTTCTTAAAAGGAATAAGTTAAATGCCATTTGAATATAAATATGACTGTCCTCCAGAGACTCAAGAAGTCTAGGTTAAACTTAGGGAACAGCTAAGAGAACCAGTGATGAATTGGGGAAGAGCACTAAACCAAAATATCCAGATTTTTCTTTTTTTTTGCCATGAACCAGCAGCATTATCTCATAAATATTTTCATTTCTCTGGTGCTGTTTTCTAAATTTTGAAATGAGTTGTATTTGGTAAACTTTAAAGCATCTTATGGTTCTGAAATTCTACTTCTATCACATTTGATCACTCATACTGTCCGTTTTTATTATGTAGGGCAGATGTGAATTAGCATTTCCTGGTGGCTCGGATGGTAACGAATCCACCTTCCAGTGCAGGAGATGCAAGAGACACAGGTTCAATCCCTGGGTCAGGAAGATCCCCCAGAGAAAGGAATGGCTACCCACTCCAATATTCTTGCCTGGGAAATCCATGGGCAGAGGAACGTGGTGGGCTACAGGTCATGAGGCTGCAAAGAGTCGGACACCACTGAATGAATAGCATTTTCAATATTTCATGAATTAGCATCACTGATCATTCATTCACTCATTCAGCAGTTATTGAGCAGGCCTCATGCTTCAGACTCTGTTCTAGATACTTGGGATACATTAGTGAATAAAGTTCACAAGGACTCCTGCCTCTTTCCCCCATATCCCGTAAGGTCACATTCTTGTAGACAGAGAGAGGCAAAATAACAATAAAAGATAATGAGTTTAAAAAAAATATATGCTATATTATGGATTTCCCAGGGGGCTCAGATGGTAAAGAATCTGATTGCAATGCAGGAAATCCAAGTTTGATCCCTGAGTTTGGAAGATCCCCTAGAGAAGGAAATAACAATCCACTTCAGTATTCTTGCCTGGAGAATTTTATGGACAGGGGAGCCTGGCAGGCTATGGGCCATGGGGCCACAAAGAGTTGGACATGGCTGAGAAACTGACACTTTTACTTTCAGGCTATATTAAAAAAAAGAGAGAAGTGGAACTTCCCTGGCCATCCAGTGGGTAAGACTCTGCCTTTCAACACAGGCGGTGCTGATTTTGTCCCTGGTCGGGGAACTAAGATCCCACATGCCCTGGTGTACAGCCAAAAGGTATTAAAACATTGCAGAACTTGGCCAAAAGGATCAGTAGTCGTGAGATGGAAGGCTAAAATTAAATGTGGCAGTTAGAATAAACCTTATTGAGAAGGTGACATTGAGAAAATACTTGAAGGTGAAGGAGGGGGTCTTGTGGACATCAACTGACAGTTGATGACAACTGACAGTGATTCAAGCAGAGAGAATGGCCAGTGGAAGGGCCCTGAGGCAGGCGCAAGCCCGTGTGTCACAGAAAGAGTCCAGATGGCTTGTGGTCAGACGGCCCTGGGGAAGAGAGAGGACAGGAGATCAAAGGCTGCAGGAAAGACTTTCAGCTCTGGAGCTCTGGGGGAGAGAGATAGCATCGGAGGTCAAAGGCTGGTGGGGGGGGGGGCATTCAACTCCTGACCTACGGCAGGAATGCTGGCTTTTACTTTGAATGAATCAGGGGTTTTCAGTCAGAGAAGGACAGCATCAATTATTGCAGCACTCCTGGGGAGAGATGACGGTGGCTTGGGCCAGGGTGGTGGCAGTGGAAACTTAATAAGATGCAACCAAATTCAGGTTATATTTTAAAGCTAGAGCCAACAGGCTTTATTGACCCTGTGTATGTGGGGACTGAGAGAAAGAGAGATTTCTCTTGAGTTACTGGAAAGGTGAAGTTGCTGCCAACTTGGAAGGAAAGGTGACCGGTGGAAATGGGTTTGGGATCAATAACAGGAATTAGACTTTGAAGTAGAGATGCCGAGCATAAAATGAGTTTATAAATATAAGAAGGATAGTTAAATAAACAGTAGTATAGTTATATAATATAAGGCCATTCAGTCACCAAAATAAATTAAATATGCTGGAAATATTTCTAAAATCTCTGGTGTAAAAAAGTAAGGTAGAGTTTAGCACAATCATAGTATGGTAAATAAACAACAAAAAATAAAGTAAATGGGTAAATAAATACAGAGAGGAAAAGAAAAATATATTTATATATACATATGTATATGCATATATATACAGATGTATATATGTATATATGTATATATATATATAAATATATAGAATGAGCTATAGCTTCTTAACATAATAAACTCTAAAGAATGAAATTGGAAAAGGAGAATGTTCATTTCTTCCCTCATGTATATTGCAATGAGAAAATGAAATACTAATAAATCTCATTTCTATATTGAAAGATCTAAATTCAGTTACCTGATTGTCTAAAACTTGTTACTGGAGGCAACACGGTATCATGATTTCAAATTAGAAAGATCTAGTTTCAAGCCACAATTGAAGCGACTTAGCAGCAGCAGTAGCAGCAGTTTCAAGCCACAGATTTGTTTTCTGACTCCTTGGATAAATGCTCTATCTCACTAAATCTCTGACTTTTCATCTATAAAAAGGAGCTGATAGTATTTACCTTATAGTCTTCAAGAGGAGTGCAAGTGCTTAATAAATAGGCTGCATTTTAATCAAGTCCATTAAATATGCTCCTTCTGGTAAGAGATGAAATTAAACTTTGCAGTACACTGAACCCTTTGACTGTGTGGAGCACAATAAACTGTGGAAAATTATTCAAGAAATGGGAATACCAGACCACCTGACCTGCCTCTTGAGATATCCGTATGCAGGTCAGGAAGCAACAGTTAGGACTGGACATGGAACAGCAGACTGGTTCCAAATAGGAAAAGGAGTCCATAAAGCCTGTACATTGTCACCATGCTTATTTAACTTGTATGCAGAGTACATCATGAGAAACGCTGGGCTGGATGAAGCACAAGCCAGAATCAAGATAGCCGGGAGAAATATCAATAACCTCAGATATGCAGATGACACCACCCTTATGGCAGAAAGTGAAGAAGAACTAAAGAGCCTCTTGACGAAAGTGAAAGAGGAGAGTGCAAAAGTTGGCTTAAAACTCAACATTCAGAAAACTAAGATCATGGCATCTGGTCCCATCACTTCATGGCAAATAGATGGGGAAACAGTGGAAACAGTGTTTGACTTCATTTCTTTCTTTTTTTTTTGGGGGGGGGGCTCCAAAATCATTGTAGATGGTGACTGCAGCCATGAAATTAAAAGGCGTTAACTCCTTGGGAGAAAAGTTATGACCAACCTAGACAGCATATTAAAAAGCAGCGACATTAGTTTGCCAACAAAGGTCCTTCTAGTCAAGGCTATGGTTTTTCCAGTAGTCATGTATGGATGTGAGAGTTGGACTATAAAGAAAGCTGAGCACCGAAGAATTCATGTTTTGAACTGTGGTGTTGGAGAAGACTCTTGAGAGTCCCTTGGACTGCAAGGCGATCCAACCAGTCCATCCTAAGGGAAATCAATCCTGAATATTCATTGGAAGGAATGATGTTGAAGCTGAAACTCCATTACTTTTGCCACCTGATGCCAAGAGCTGACTCATTGGAAAAGACCCGATGCTGGGAAGGATTGAAGGCGGGAGGAGAAGGGACGACAGAGGATGAGCTGGTTGGATGGCATCACTGACTCAATGGACATGAGTTTGGGTAGATCCTGAGAGTTGGTGATGGCAGGGAGGCCTGCTGTGCTGCAGTCCATGGGGTCACAAAGAGTCGGACATGACTGACTGAACTGATCTGAACTGAAGAGTTTAAAAAGTATGAGCTCAAACTATGCTACAGATTAAAATGACTAAAGAATATGAATTCTTCACTTAGTTTTCAGCATTTGAGCACTTTTTATTCTAATCATTGTGCACATATGTGAGATGACATATGTAGCAGACTTTCAGGATCTTTGCAGGATATTTTTAAATTGTGATTTTAAAAACTCCACATATAACACAAAATGTACCCTATTAGTCATTTTAAATTTATAGTTCAATAGTGTTCAGTATATTCACATTGTTGTGAAAAAGATCTCTGCAACTGTTTCATCTTGAAAAACTGAAACTTAATACTCTGTATAAAACAACCCCCCCTTCCCCCCTCATCTGAGCCTCCAGTAACAATTTTTCTATTTTCTATTTCTTTGAATTTTATTATTTTTAATATATCCTATGGGAGAATTGTACAGTATCTGTCTTTATTTCACTGGCTTATTTCAATTAACATAATATTTTCAAAGTTCATCTATACTGTAGCATGTGATAAGATGTTTTTCCTTTTTTAAGGTTGAATAATATTCCAGTGTATGCATACCTCACATTCTGTTTATCCATTCCTACTGATGAACACTTTGGATGCTTCTATCTTTGGGCTCTCATGAATAATATTGAATACCACTATGAATATAGGTGCAAAAGTATTTCTTGAGATGCTGCTTTTAATTCTTTTGGCTATATATCCAGAAATGGGATGGCTGGGATCATTTGGT